CCCCCCCCCCCCCCCACACACACACAAGGACAGAGCTGTGCAAACCCCAGCATATTGGCACTGGCCTCACTTCCAGTAAAATTACTTTTCCTTCATATTAGGCCAAGGCAAGAGTGCAGAGACATTTATGAAACTTTGTTTAATGTACTGAAAAGCCATCGGCTAGAACATTTAGGAAATTGATTTTCCTGGCATTGATGAACTCTTTTTATTTTACCCCAGTATTAATTACTTTTTTTTTTAAACAAATTAATTTAAGAGTCGTAAAACCTAACAAGTGAGCCAAACGTCAGTAGATCATGTTCCCCACTCCCCCCTCCCGCCCCCACCGATGCCTTTTCAGGAGAGGAGGAGAAATCCACCCCGTGTGACTCGTTCTCGCTGTCTGTTTGCAGGGGAAGCTTCGTCGCTGCGCGATTACGCCGCCACCACCATGAACGAGTTCCTGGGCATGTTTGGCTACGACGACCAGAACATGCGGGATGAGCTGGCCCGCAAGATCAGCTTCGACAAGCTAAATGCTGCTACCTCAGAGGCCACCTCGGCCGCCACCTCCCTGCCCAGCGAGGATGCCATGAGCAAGCGGGCCCGCTTCTCCAAGTACGAGGAGTATATCCGCAAGCTCAAGGCTGGCGAACAGCTCTCCTGGCCCATCCATCTGACCAGGCCTGAAGAGCTGAGCTCCAAGCTGGGCAAAGAGGCTTCCTCAGTGCTGGCCCAGCCCATCCGGTTGCCAGGTCCAGATGCCTCCCTGCTGACGGAGACCAAAGCCACCATCCTGCCCTTGCCCTCTCCCAGCAGCTCCCAGATGCAGGGCCTGATGTCTCGGGCCTCCAAGTATGACTTCTTCATCCAGAAGCTGAAGACAGGCGAGAGCATTAGGCCACAGAATGGCAACACCTACAAGAAGGCCTCCAAGTATGATCTAGAGAATGTCAAGTACTTGCACCTTTTCAAGCCTGGGGAAGGCAATCCAGACATGGGAGGGGCCATAGCTTTCAAGACGGGCAAGGTGGGCCGGCCTTCCAAGTATGACGTGAGGAACATCCAGAAGCTCACTCCAGTCAAGCCTGCTGCACCCAGCTTGGCCCCCAATCCCCTCACCAGTACCCCCAGCAGCGCTCCAGTGACTGGGCCTGAACAGTCTGTCTCTTTGCCATTCAACACCCCTGAGTACCTGAAGTCAACCTTTTCCAAGACAGACTCCATCACAACTGGAACGGTCTCTACAGTCAAGTAAGTGCCCTTCCATTTCTCTTCACTTTCCATTAGTCAGGGGACATGAGGAGGCACTGTGGGTCCCTCAGAGGAAAGTTTGCTCTCCTCCCCTTGCTCATGTCAGGGGAAGTTTTTTAATTCAGAGGTTGGCTTAAGCCACCCACCAGGTTTGCTTGAGTCTCTTAATCTGTCTTAGTTTCTAAACATCCTCATTCCCACCCTGACCCTAACCCTGAAAAAAGAACTGGAGTTGACTTGGGCTGTTAAGGACAGTGTTAACATAAGGTTAACAAGACAGCCAGCAGAAGCAGCCATGACCTGAGGTCAGGATCCAAAGCCAGACCTAGGCATCTTCACCTGGTGTTGCAGGCAACTGGGGAGGTTCAGTGGGACTAGTCAGTGAGAGGCAAGCAAGGGACCAGTGAAAATCCTGTTTCCTTGGACACCGGCTGCAAGACGGCTTGGTTGTCCTGTCATCCCTCCTCATCCCTGGCTGCTCACAGCAAGGCAAACTCGTGAAATGACTCCCAGTACCCATGAGGTCCTAGCCGCCTGAGTTCATCAGCCCCCCTACCCAGGCATAGATCCCAGGGTGAGACAAGACACAGAGGGGTGAGCTGCTCTGACATGCACGTGTGGATCGTGGCCGCTTTCTTCCCCTCTGCCCTCCACATCTCTTAAGCAGCACATCTCTCTAACTGGAGAAGGGCCCGATTCTACTAGTGAAGTCAATGGCAAAACTCTCATAGTAGGCCATGTTATCTCAGTCTGAGCTGTTCCTCACAGATGGAAACGAGGCAAGAAAGCCTCCAACTGGGCAAACACCTCCAGTTTGGCCAGGACATGCCATATCTCACACGCACATCTGCCACCCCAGTTAGTACTAATAACCCCCGACACATTGTTGGCATTCTCTACCAAGAGACCAGTGACTTACTGGGCCATGGGGATACCTGCATGGATTGTCCCAAGGGGAGCTCTGCTTGAGGTAGTAATGGAGGAGTCATGCAAATAGACAATGGGCATATGGGCACTGCCACTTCAACCACCTTGACATGCAGACATGTTATGAGTCAGATTAGATGTTGTGGTCCTTAAGGCACCAGGGCCCCTGTAGCATTGCTGGAGCTGTGTGCCCAGCAGCACTGTTGTGGTGTTAGAACCACTAGTCAGGAATCCTAGCGTAGATGTGGCCATCTAAGAAGAGGACAGGTATGTTTGCTGGGGCCAAGGGAGAGGTTAACACTGCTCCACCAGTGCTGTGTGGAAGCACAAACTTTGTGTTCTCCCAGCATTCAGGTTCTGGACAAAGTAATGCAGCTACCCTTCAGCACTCCTCCCATCCTAAGGCCTCGCGGGGTTAGGGTTATAAGATGGAGAGGTTGTTTCTGGAGAGGAAACTGCTGACCCCATAAAAGGGATTGGACCTGATGGGCTGACCTTAAACTCTAGGAAATTGTCAGGGTCAGGGTGCAAACAGAGCAGGGGGGTGTGAGCACTGCTTCCCCATCTTGGCTGGATTCTCTGGCTTCGTGGGACCTGAGTACCTTTTGTGAGAAACGTTATTGGTTCCTGGGGCTTGCTCCCCGCAATGTACTTCAAGGACGCCTGTGGGAGGGAGGCTTCTCCTGCCTGGCTACCCTGCCCTTCCATTGGTTGAGGTGACACCCATCATGTGGTTTTCCACTGAGGAACTCAGTTGTGGCCTTCTGATTGGCTGGTCCCCACATCTGAACAGGCTAGTATCACCGAGGAGCCCCATGAGATCATTTGTACCAGGTTTGGGTCTTCCAGGTCACACTAGTGCCATTGTGTCCAGCCACCTGCCTTATCCCTCTGTAGGGAGGAAGACTGCCCCTGGAGCTATGATATAGGCCTCAGAGTCAGGAGGCTTGGGGTATGTTCCTGACTGCCAGTGACCCATCTCCTGTGCCTCAGTTTCCCTGTGCAAGGCAGGAGTCCCTGCTTCCTGTGGGACACGTTAATTCATTGTTGTGAGTTCCTTATTACAGCATTTGGAAAAGAGGAAAGCATTATCATGAGCTGCAGCTAAATTTATCACCCAGCCTCCAATCTGGGAGCGCTGTGACCCCTCCAACACCCCTCGTCATTGTGTGCCACGCTGTTCAATGAGATAGTAGCATTCTCCACTTTGCTGGCTCTGCCACAGAGACTGGTTTAGCCCCTGTGGCAGCAGGCTCCCAGCTGTGCCAGGAGCATGCTATAAATGCCTTGTGGCTGAGCACTCACTCGCACTCTCATTGATGTTTCTTGCTCCAGAGGGCAGGCAGGGGCCGCTGCTGTCAGGACACTTAGTTGTAAATATGTGTATGTGGCCAGCACCTTATCGTGGTCAGGCCACAGGTCTGCAGCTCTGGAAAGAGGAAGTCCATTGAGTCTCAAGGACAGTCTGGCCCTCTGAGCATTTTCTCTCCTGCCCTTGTGGTGCCTGGGCATCTTGGGGTTGCAGGGAGCTGCTCATGCACCCTTGCTTTGCTTTTGCTTTTCATCAGGATCTGGTTCTGTTCCTCTCTTGCAGCCCCATGCTTTTTTTTCTGCTGTGGATGAAGGTTTGCAGTGCCATGGTGATCCCTTCTCTAACCACAGGACTTCCAGGGAATGAGGGAGAGGGGACATGGTGATGGGAGTATAGCTGGCAATGGGCTTGCTTTGAGACTTCCACCCAGCTGTGCTCTGCTGAACACTTGCAGACCTGTGGGTGTGTTTGGTGTGGTGTGGCTAGGCAGGGCATTCTCATGGAGCTGTGATTGCTCCTCCCTCCAGGTATGGGGGTATCACAAACCAGGCACAGCCCCGGGAGCGACACTTCCGTCAGAGTGGAGGCAGCTTCTCATTCTCCTGCTTTAACCCACAAGGTGCCTGGACTGGACACAGACCAGTAATGCTCTCCCGTTGACATGCAGCTCCTCCATTGCCCATCTGCAGACCTTACCTGTGTGTTGTTTGGGCATGGTGGGCACTAGCCTTCACTGCCATAAAGATGAGCTACCTACCCCCACACATGCCCTCCAGGTCTTTGCGGGCTGCACTTCTGTGCCCCTCAGATGTCAAAGCAACCTCTCTCTGTACCACTGCAGTGGGGAATGGGGGGCACTTGCTGTACTTCCCAACTTGGGGAATCTCCAAAGCTTTGCTGGCCTTTGTGCTCGTCTGAAGGCTGACTGTGCAGCAAGTGAGGGATCCAGAGCAGTGTGCGCCATGAGATGAGACGGGCGTGCGAGGCAAAGTGAAAATTGTGGTAGTGAAGACGGGACTCACTGCATGATCCAGGACCTGCCTTTCCATTCAAAAACCCTCCGGGACCAAATGACCTGGCAGGAGTTACCCCCTCATTCTCTCACACACACACAAATTCAGGGTATTAACTGGGTAACTCCTAATGCTCTTAACTTGGGCTAAACTCATTTACCTACTTGATGTGAAACTTCTGCAGAGCTGTCCTGGTGTAACCAGGATATGGAGCTGGCACAAAACAGAAGGGCGCCAGGATGCAAGAGGAAGACCCAAGTGCAGCCTGTTTCTCCTTGGCCACTCTGCAAGGTCTGCAGCAATGATTCTTGTTGGCCAAAGCCCAAACTGGCTGTACTAAGGCTCTTTCTTGCTGCTGTTGGAGAACCCACCTAAGACGTAATTTCTGTGCCAGTTTCAAGGCAGATACTTTTCCAAGTGAATGGTTGGGTGCAGTGCGTGTTTCATGCCTCATTGCAAAGCTACACAGCTATGTTTGTGGTTCTGTCACTGGGAGAGTGTAATCAAAGCCCCCTCTGTGCTGCCGCCATGTTGCAATGGTCAGATCACAAATACAGTCCGCTCTCCAACAGTCACAGCACGGTTCTGGTCATTAATGTAGACGGGAGCTTACAGTGTCTGAATCGTGCTAGACTCTTGTTATTATTATTATTTTCCAGTGGTTTAACACAGTATAGGCGTGTATTTAAAGCTTTCTTTTTGTAAGCAGAAGCCATGTTACAACAGGGTTGGGACCATCCACTTTTGAGATGACCTCTGGTTCTGTGTAGATGGGGCAGTGGTGTCTTTGTGGCTTGTGGCAGGTCTTCTTAGCCCCTTCACCAAACAGGAATGAGCTCTGGGGGCATGGGAGATGCAGGAAAGGAGATGTGTCCCTAGGAGAAGGGGGTGCAGAGCTGAGAGGGCGAGGGGGGAGGTTACACAGGCAGGTATCTCTGCTGCATACTGTTCCCAGAGCCCAGCGCCCTGGTCTGCTCAGTGCTGCATGAGAGAGACGGGGAGCTTGGACTGTGCCCTGCCACTGCCTGCTAACCAGCTCTGCCCTGTGTGTTTCTCATTAGGAACGGATTACCCACTGACAAACCAGCTGTCAGCGAAGATGTAAATATTTACCAGAAATATATTGCCAGGTAGGCAAACCCCTCGGCTTTCTCGGGGACATGGTTGGGAGGGAAGGTTATGGGCGGGGGGGGTCTCGTCCGTCTGTCTGTCCGGGTGAAATGTATACACCAGTCATGGGCACTGAGTCTTCCATTTCCCTCTGACATCCATACTGACTTTGTTCCCCCCTCGGGACCCCAGAGCAGGAACCTGTGAACAAGCCCGAGGAGCCCATGAGAGCTCTCTTCCCCCCACGTCCCCAGTAGACAGTGAAGAAGTACCTCATTGTGGAGGCCTGGGCTCTAGTGCAGTCCCTGGCCTCCTGGCTGGCATTCTCCTTGCCTACCAGTGTTATTTCCAGCCTATATCGTCTGCCTTTTTGGGGGTCTGGGATCTCAAGGCTGAAGGGGGGGGAGGAGGTCATACAGAGCATTGCAGTCAGAGCAAGCCATAAACAGGCCTCAAAAAATTAAAGCAAGGGGTTTGCTCCCCCAGTCCTGCCTGCATCAACCCTGGGATGTAGGGATGTGGGGGGCAACAGGGAAGATGAGGTGGGAAGAGAGAGGGAGGGCTATTCTGTTATTGTAGCAAAGGGCCCAGAGCAGCGGTGCCCCAGCATGGGCTGCCACTCACCTGCCCTCAGGAGAACTGGAGATGAGATCAAGAGCTTAGTCCCACCCTCGCCTCGCTGGGCCAAAGGGAGCAAGGGCCATTCAGCAGCCAAATAATCTTCTCCCCTGGGTGCCAAGCCTCCACCCTGGCTAGGCAGTGTTGAGAGACCAGTGGGGATCTGAAGGCTGAGTCCTCTCTCAGCTGCACTCCACTGAGGTCAGCATGCTTACGCTGGGAGAGCAGAGGGAAGAAATGGTCCCTTTGTGCCCAGTGCAAGTAAAGAGCTGCTCTAAATGCAGCACTCCTGTCCTCTCCTCGCAGCTCCCCCTGGGCCGAGACAGTGCAGGGAGGGAAGCTTGCAAGGTGGCTTTGGGACACCACTTCCTGCCTTAAAAAGCTCCATGGGCCGCCCCTTGGCAGCCCAGCAACTTCCCTTTAATTTACACATGGTTTTAAAAACAGTTTAAAGCCTTAAAATAAGAGGTGGGGGGAGCATGTCTGTGCTGCACAGTTAGCTTAATGAGTTCACCAAAGCCACTGCCAAAAGCTGCCCAGGGATAATCCATTCTCTCGCACAACAAAACAAAACCTCTTACTTAGCTAGTTTGGGTTGAGCTGGTTTTTTTCCCTTGTATATTTATATTTTTTCTGTGGTTTCTTTTTTGTAATTATTATTATTATTGCTATTATTATTAGTGCCTCAGCAGATGGTGCATCTGGCAGCACTTACTTAAATATTTATTTGCGTGTGGGTTTCCTCCCCCTTGTAATTGGGGTGGGTTTTTTTTTTCTTCCTTCTCTCATATCATCGTTACAGGGTAATGAGTCTGTAAACACTCACTAAGCATGCTGACTTTTTTATTTATTATTTTTATTATTATTTATTTATCTCAGTTTTCCTTGCTAACTCCTGCCAGATCTGGGACTGGCTTTTGCTGGCAATACAACTGAACGAATGAAGGGAGGGAGCAGGTGTGTGGGGGGGGTACAGAGAGTGCTGCACGGGGGGGATGTGTACGGGTGCACGGGATTGTGGGTGCGTACAAATGCGCGCGTGTACCTGTAAATGCAGGCGCGTTTGTGTAAGCGAGGAGGGATGTTCTGCGGAAGAGTTGGGGAGTGTGCATGTACATGTGTGTGCGTGTCAGGGAGTGTGTGGTGTGTAAGCTTTCCTGTTTTGAAAAACTAAACAGATGCTGCGCTTTAAAAATTAATAGCTTTGAACTGTTTCAAGTGTCAGAAAAAGCACAGGGTAAATATAACCCTTTAGGAGCCTAACCTGTTAATATTGCAACGTAGCAAGAATCCTGCCTCCCTGCTCCCACCAGGCAGGCCCCAAAGCACGGTGTCCCACCAAGCACTGTCCAGCCACCGTGGCAGTGCAGTAGCAGGAGCTTCCCATCTCACTTACTGTTGAATTACAAATACACCCCCCCCCACCCCCCCCGATATGAGATTGTAA